TATAGAGCCAAAGATGTTAGAATTGTGTTGATGTCCCAATATTTCTGGACCTGACTGTAAGTTGCTTATCTTGTTATGTCTCTTGTTATGTCTTCAATATCAAAAATAATTTTTCTTTCCCATGAAAATGCATTTATTGTTTAAAATTAATTTCAGAGTCTTATTATTCAAAATCTAATATTCCACTGTTTTCTGAGACCCTAATCTGTTTAAAACTTTCTATAGCCAAAATCCTGTCTTGCTTTTTCCTGTTTATTTTGAATTCTTAAAGCTTTTAAAGAAATAGTTTCATTTTCTTATATTAAGGATTGAAGGGACTTACCCAGTGTTTCCAGTCTTGTCATTTTGAAGGTGTCTACCTTGTTTAAAGCAATTAATAGGCAATTTCCTAAAAGTGATTAGCAAGGAAGTGTGAACCTTGTGTCCTTTGGAAGGTTCTGACTGTGGCTGAAGCAAGTGTGGCAAATTCCCTTGGCTCCTGGTCCTCCCACCCTCCAGAGACCATCGCCTTGCAGTTTCCTAATGAGAAGCAACCATATGGAGCTCAGCTTGGGTGATCTCATGTCCTCTCTGTTGTTTTTACCTCAGGGTGATTTTAAAATGGAAATCCCACCTGCCTTCTAAATGCAATATGTTTTGCCATTTCATTCTACTGTATATGTAGAACAGATCTCACTCTTGGCTGCTGTATCTCTGCTCACCCCTGAATTTTATTCTTCTCTTATATTACCATACTTCCCTGTTCATCTCTTTTTTTTTCCCTAATCTGCTTCTCTTTAAATTCTCCATCCAAATTATTCTGTCTCTATTCTGCTTATATCCTACTAAATCAAGCACTTTACACAATGTATCACTGGCCTACAGATCTGAACAATGCAGAGATGGTCTTCAAGAATCTCAAAGCAGGGGTTTCAGCAGCAGCACCTAGAAGCTTTGCTTTCTGTGCCATTGTGGGAAATGTCTTGGGGAAAACAGTTGGAGGTCTGTCCTCTACTGCACTTCAGTACTACTTGGATAGATGTCCAGTGGTATCTATTTGCAGAAGGAGTCAGCAATATTCTATAAAGTTGCTGACCTAAAGATGTAAGATGTGTCCTGATGCTTCAGATCAAGTGTCCACCTAATCCAGCATGTTACTATTTATAGAGCCAACCTTTAGGGAAGTGTTAAACACTGTTTAAAGGCAACAATTCTCATAGCTGGAATTCGGAAGTATCTGCAAGTTCTACTTAATTGTCTTTGCCTAGTTCTTTAGTAAATAAAGGGCTGGGTTATCTGGTGGCCATTCAGATGCTACTTACTAGAGTTCCCAACAATCCAAGACAGTATGACAAATAGATTTAGATTCCAGCTTTCCAGCTTTTCTTGGATTATGTCACTCTGAGTGGTGATGTTCAGGCACAAGCCAAATACCTTATATTAATCAGCTTGGTTAGACCCTTCAGTACCAGGAATACTCCAAACCTTAAATGAAGAGCCCTGAGCATTTTATCCAATCTTGCTTTTGATAGGCCTATCTTAATTTGAGTAATCAGTAGGGTCTGATTGTTTTCTGGAGGCAATGGTGAAAACTTTTAGTAATTTAATTAATATACTATTCTTATTCCACATTGACCAAAAGTAAGGAGATGATACATACTGTGTAACAAGGAGATCAAAAGCACTGGTGATTACTTTTAATTCTTTCAGAATATAGTTGGTTTACCATTTGCTTTCTCCCACCACAAGTAAGAATAGCTTTCTAATACAACGAGTTATTTCTGGACAAATTCAAACATATTTTTTAGATTTCAGACATATACCACCAGAGGGCGCTTTTACACAAGAGTTTGAAATCATGATACTTTTAATAGCAATAATAAATAAATCATCCAATGTACTGTAAATAAATTGGACTTTTACATTTCATAAACAAACAACAAAAAAGACCAAAACAAATGAAAGTGGATCAAAGCAACAATGGATTGTGAATACTTGAAGTGTTTCAGTTCATACAATAAATATATCCTGTACCAACTGTTTTGTGTAATGTCTTCTGCTGTAATATCAGAAAATCTAAAGCAGCCAGATCTGGGCTGCAGGAATTTAGGCAGTAGTAAACTAACCCTTTGCTACTGTCTAGTGGTCATCCAGAGTTTTGCAGACCAGATCTGGTAGCTCTAGAAAACTGCCATACAGGTCTGGGAAAGAGAATTAAGTTTCCTTTTTAATTTAAAAAAGATTCTCTGAGTTCCTTTATTAAAATAATGTATGTTTTTTTTTCAAACTAAAGACAAACATTAAAAAAATTAAAAGAATGCTAAACCGTGATAAAAATGAAAGAAACTGAAAGGGAGGAGAATAAAATTTGGGACAGTGGGTTCCCTTTCTCTCTCTCATACACACACACACACACACACACACACACACAAATACATAGATGATCCATGAGAAATACAAGCATTCTAAAACAGAAGTTTTCCAAGGGAGCTGAGGATAGCGTGACAAAGGCACCATGGTTTGTAATGTGCTGGTTTCTTGTATTGTACAGTTTTGGGGCAAATCAGTTGGCAT